AGGACTAACATAGAGAAACCTGTCTGGAAAAAACAAAAAACAGAAAAAAAGGAAAAGTCTTTTTCAGGGGAGAGGAGGAGGAATGCACCTTCTAGGTTTCAATGTGAGCAGTTAGGAGAGTGTGTTAGCCTTGGAGGACACAGGTGACATACTGAGAATGGATGCCGGATGTGAACAGTTCGGAGAATCCCAAAGCTACCTAAGCTCTGGCAACTCCTGTTAATAATCCTTTCTCCATTACTTCTGTCAGTTTTCCTTGTTGTGAAAAGATGAGCTACAAAACCAGAGACCATCTGTCTGCTCGGTGGTTCTCTGACCAGACTGGTGAAGTGTCCCTAGACGTGAGCCCTGTCTTTCCCATAACACACAGCTTCCTTTTCGCCTGTTTCAGCAGAGGTGGACGGGGCTAGAGATGGTTCAGTGGTTACTGCTCTTGCAGAGGGCCGGGGACTCACAAGGGCCTGGAACTCCAGCCTCAGAACACGGCTGACACCGCTGGCCTCTCCAGGCACCTGCCCTCACACGCACATACTCTACCCCCCCACACACAGACTTAACAAATCAATCCCCTTTTTTCATCTAGAAGATTCATGTATTTTAAGTATATGGCTGTTTTGTCTGCGTGTACACACACCAAAAAAAGGCATCAGATTCCATGGGAATACAGTTAGAGATGGTTGTGAGCCACCATGTGGGTGCTGGGAATTGAACTCAGGACCTCTGGAAAAGCAGTCAATGCTCTTAACATTGAGCCCTCTGCCTCTTCAGCCCCTTAAAAAGTAAATCTTAAGAACATTTTTTGATTGTTCTTTTCCAAACATTTTTGTATCTGCTTACTTAAACACAATATTTAGCCACCCCTGTTGTAGATTTGGGACTATTTCCAATTTTTCACTTTGTCATGATAAATTAGTATTTTTCCTGTTTTCCATGTGACATGGTCCTAGAATTGCTTTATCCAAAGGGAGTGGCTTTGGGGGTTGGGCGGGTGACTCAGTGGTTAAGAGCTGGTAATGCTTTTGCAGAGGACGGGAGTTCAGTTCCCAGCACCCACGTCAGGCGACTCACAGCTGCCTGGAGAACCCAATGCCTCACTCACGAGCACACCCACAACACAAGTACACAGAATTTTAAAGAGAGGGAGTAGTAAGTGATGCTGTCTTCACTTACAGTAAGTTATTTTCTCATTTAGATTTCCAATATGTGAGAATAGCTAAGTCTTTCTTTTAAAATAAGGGAATCTTGCAATTAATAAAATTTGTTTTGTAACCATTTTGCTTCTCTCTTGGGCCTTATACCCTAGCGCTGAGCCACTGAATCTTCTCTCTTTCCTTTAAACATGCAGTAGACTTCAGGGAACTTCAAGAACGTCTCAAAACCTGGCTCTCATGCTGAGTTCCTAGACTTACCTCTAGTAGGGTTCTTTTTGTTGACTTGGTACATCAAAATTCTGTTAGAGTTGCCTTGTGTTGTCTGTACACAGCAAGCCGTAAGATGGCATTGGATCTCTTCGTAGATGGCTGCGAGGCACTGTGTGGTGAACTGGACATCTGGATGAGCAGCCAGTGCTCTTAGCACTGAGCCAGCTCTTCAGCCCCTTCTGTTGTTGTCTGCGCCAGGAAATGTAGGTGACATGAGTTACTCTGCTGTCTTTCATGCCGCATGCATTCAGCTCATAACGTCTTTACCTACTCATGTGCTGTTAAGTATCCCAGTCACCAAATTGACTCTAGTTGTTAAACTCCTGTCTTGGGCGTGGCGTGGGGTGGAGGTGGGGAGAGTTCTGGGCCTGGAACTCAGATCTTCATGACATTCAACTATTTTCCCAGCTGTTTCTTGGTTTCTATATTTTGATTGGGTTTTGTTTTCTAGGTTTCATAAAGAGTTCCAGGCTAGCCTGGGCTAGAGAGTGAATCATTGTCCCTCTCAAACAAACAAACAAGTCAATGAAAGATGAGGAAGGAAAAGGTGATAAACCTCATCTAATGACATATATACATTAAATGCATGTAACTATATATATATATATATTATATATATGTACATGCATATACACATATAAATGTATAATGCTTATAAAAATGGGTCTTTTACATTTTTCCCCTAAATCCTAGATTTGACTAATGTCGGAGATTTGTTTTTCAAGACAGAGTTTCACTGTATGTAGTCTTGGCTGTTCTGGAACTTATTCTGTAGACCGGCCTTGAACTCAGAATTGCCTGCCTCTGCCTTCTGAGTCCTAGGATCAAAAGGCATGCACCACCACCACCAGGCTGTCTTTTTGAAACAGGTTCTCACCATGCAGCATCAACTGGCTCGGAATTCACACGTAGACCTGGGTGACCTCACACTTTGGAGAGCCACTGTTGGGATTAAGGCTATGCACCCCACATCTTGCCACGATTATTGATGGGCCAATACTTGAAGCCCATCATTTGTAATGATTTTTTTAAAGATTTATTTATTTATTATGTATACAGTATTATGTATGCCTACTTTCATATCTGCATGCCAGAAGAGGGCGCCATATCTCATTACAGATGGTTGTGAGCCACTATGTGGTTGCTGGGAATTGAACTCAGGTCCTCTGGAGCAGTCAGTGCTCTTAACCTCTGAGCCATCTCTCTAGCCCCATTTGTAATGACTTTAAGGAGAGTCTAAAATGATAACTCTCTCTCTCTCTCTCTCTCTCTCTCTCTCTCCCTCTCTCTCTCTCTCTCTCTCTCTCTCTCTCTCTCTCTCTCTCTCTCTCTCTCTCTCTCTCTCTCTTTGTGTGGTGTTTGGACGGCAGAGGATAACTTAGAACCACAGTCTCTCCTTCCACCCTTTGGGTCCTGAGAATCTAACTCAGCTCACCAAGCTTGGCAGCAGGTGCCTTGTTTCTCCAGCCCTAATACATATCCTCTTGAAGGAAAACAATTGTAACGAACTGTCGTGACAGAGTCGTGACAGATTGTAAATGTTGTCATTCATTGTCCTCATGCTTCACTGGCAATGACCTCTAGTGAAAGCTAACATTTTTGGCAGAAAGACTATAAACCAGAGCAATGTTTTTCTTTGCAGGTTACGTGTCTTGCGTGTGACAACAAATCAAACACAATAGAACCATTCTGGGACTTGTCATTGGAATTTCCAGAGAGATACCAATGCAGTGGAAAAGATGCTGCCTCCCAGCCATGTCTAGTTACTGATATGTTGGGCAAATTTACAGAAACAGAAGCGTTAGAAGGGAAAATCTACGTGTGTGACCATTGTAACTGTGAGTATAGACAGTCTCTGTGCTGTTTTTAGGATTGGCGATGGAGAATGAGGAAGCTGGAAGTCCTTAAACAGTAGCTATAGAAAGGAATTTTCCAGTCCCATAAAGGAAGTCAGTCATCTCTACTTTACAATAGTCTTTATTTTTTATTATTTATTTTTTATTTTTTTTTGGTTTTACGAGACAGGGTTTCTCTGTATTGTTTTGGAGGCTGTCGGTCCAGCCCGGCCTCGAACTCACAGAGATCCGCCTGCCTCTGCCTCCCGAGTGCTGGGATTAAAGGCGTGTGCCACCACCGCCCGGCACAATAGTCTTTACTGATGGCATTAAAATTCTTCTTGCAGGGCTGGGGAGATGGCTTAAAAGTTAACACCACTGGCTTTCTTACAGAGAGCCAGGGTTCAATTCCCAGCACCCATACAGCAGCTCAAACCTGTCTAACTCCTATCTCAAGGGATCTGATGCCCTTTTCCTCCTCTGGCACACATGTGGTGATGGGCATATAGGCATTTTTACCCTGTATGCCCATACACATAAAATAAAATATCAATTATTTTCATTATTTATTTATTTTGGGTTTTTGAGACAGGGTTTCTCTGTGTAGCCCTGGCTGTCCTGGAACTCACTCTGTAGACCAGGCTGGATTCGGAACTCAGAGATCTGCCTGCTTCTGCCTCCCTAGTGATAGGATTAAAGGTGTGCACCACCAGTGCCTGGCTCAGCAATAAATTTTTAAAAAATTATTTCCATGTGTCAGAAAAATGACACTAGAGCTGGAGATCCTTCATGCTGGGGATCTGGATGCTAGGCAGGTACCTTAACACTGCAGCTCAGCCCAGGCTGATGTCACTTCCGGGAAAGAAACTTCCCGTGCTGAAGAGACGCCACATTATTTTCTAAAGCCATCTACAGTCAGTTTGTTCTGAGTGCTGCTTTACTGTGAACTCTGATTAACATAGATAATTATAAGTTATAATTATACAGTTGTAAGATCTGACAGAGAAATGGGCCTTTCTAAGATTTGGTCTGGTGAACTTAAAAGTAAAATGTCCCAAATATTCTCATCACCAAAGGTAGGGATAGCCAGTATTGTAAATATAGAATATGGTCTTGTACTAATTTGCATATGTACCGAGGCTAACAGATGCAGGCCTGGGAGAGCTGCTATAATCGATGAAGGCGAATGTTTACAAGCATGTTGACAAGCCAGTTCGGTCATCCGGCAGCCATACACATAAAGTCCCAAAGTAGGGCTGGGACATTTAGCAGCAGCTGATGTGAGAGGCACCTTTGCCCTTGCCACGGTCAGAGCTGTCATGAGCCCAAGGACAGCCGCTGACCAGCAAGCAGAAGCTCTGGGAGGATGTCTAGCAGAGAGTCCAGGGCACAGTCCCTGCGTAGACACAGAGAAGCAGAAGAGACAAGAGCCCTGAGTTCCCTTTGTTAGAGCGTGGCACTGAGTGAGGGAAGCCTTGGATCCACCACGAGAAGAGGGGACACTAAGAGGATAAAAGCGTGCTCTGGGCAGTACACACCCATCTGCCCGGGACTCAGCAGCTAAGGCTAAATGAACTCTCAGTTTTTTTAAGAGTCTCCAAAATATATATTAATGTATGCATAGGGGAAAATTTTAACTCTCCTCTTCACTGGCATAGGCAAACCTACTTTTTTTTTGGACTTTTTTTTTTAAGATTTATTTTTAACAGACTTAATTCACTTTATTTTTCTTGTATGAAAACCCTTATGTGGTAGCCACAGCTGGAGCCTGGGTCCTCTGAACAGAGACTCTGGTGTGGGCTTTCACAAGATGGTCCGTGAATTCCTGATAAGGAGACTTGGTGAACACAGTCTCTTTCCAGAGGTCGGGGGTCAGGTAGCTGTAGGTCTTGGAGATGGCATCAAAGGTGGCCTTGGCAAAGTTGCCCAGGGTGGCAGTGCAGCCCCTGGCTGACGTGTAGCAGTCATCAATACCGGCCATCATCAGTAGCTTCTTGGGTACAGGAGCCGAGACGATGCCAGTGCCTCTGGGGGCAGGGATGAGACACACCAACACAGAGCCACAGCGGCGCGTCACTTTGCATGGGACAGTGTGGGGCTTGCCAATCTTGTTCCCCCAGTAGCCTCTCCGCACAGGGACAATGGAAAGCTTGGCCAAGATGATGGCCCCCCAGGTGGCTGTGGCTACCTCCTTGGAGCACTTCACACCAAGACCAACATGACCGTTGTAGTCCCCAATAGCGACAAAAGCCTTGAACCTGGTCCGCTGGCCAGCCCGAGTCTGCTTCTGTACTGGCATGATTTTTAGAACTTCATCCTTTAGAGATGCGCCCAGAAAAAAATCAATAATCTCGGATTCCTTAATGGGCAGGGAGAACAGGTAGATCTCCTCCAGGGACTTGATCTTCATGTCCTTAACCAGGCGGCCCAGCTTGGTGACCGGGATCCACTCCTTGTCTTCGGCTTTACCTCCACGAGCCCCGCGGCCTCTGAGGCCGCTGCAGCAGCCGCCTAATCCCGGGCCCCCGGGTCCTCCGGGCCCTCCCGCTGCACCGGCGTCATCCTCCATTTGATGTTTTCCCGAAGTAGAAGAAGGAAGATTTATTTATTATGAATACAGCATCTTGCCTCATGTATGCCTGCACGCCAGAAGAGGACACCAGATCTCATTGTGGATGGCTGTGAGCCACCATGTGGTTGCTGGGAATTGAACTCAGGACCTCTGGAAGAGCAGTCAGTGCTCTTAACCTCTGAGCCATCTCTCCAGCCCGGCAAATCTACTTTTAAACATACAGCGGTGTACTGTTTTATTTTCAGGTGAATGAGTGTTTTTGCCTGTATGTAGAGAAGTACACCATGTGTGGAGCCCACCAAGGCCAGAAGAGGGCGGGCATTCCCTGTTACTGTGGTTGCAGGCAGCTGTGAGCCTCCCTGTGGTCCTGGAACTCAGTCTGGATGCTGTGCAAAAACAAGCACCTGCTCTTAACTGCTGAGCCATCTGTCCAGCCCTTACAGAGTTAGTAGAAGTCCTGGGCTTCCCTGACTTGACTACTCACCAGTTTCTCGTGTTAAGTCCTGCACTCCGTGGGGTCAAAGCCTATGCTCACCTCTAGCACAGTGTGATGCTGACAGTAGATCAGTTATCAAAGAGTTTACTCATGTTTCCCTTGTAGTTTGCAAACTGAGGTTCTTTTTTTCTTTCTTTTTTTTTTTGTTGTTGTTGCTGTTTTAGCAAAGCGTAGAAAGTTTTCGTCAAAACCAGTTGTACTCACAGAAGCCCAGAAACAGCTGATGATATGCCACCTACCTCAGGTTCTCAGACTACACCTCAAACGATTCAGGTCAGTAATGTTAGTCCCAGTGTCTACCAGTTATGAGTAACCTGGTCATTCATTCCTTCTGTTTAGGGTGCTTCAGAACTTAACGTATACATATGGCGGATTAAACTTGAACACTTCATACCTGGCTAGTGGATGACATCCTTCAAAAACAATGTAGTTACCATCTTCAACTTGGAACAGTAGACATCATCCATATTTAATAACTGAGTTGTTTTTTGAGGCAGGGTTTCTCTGTGTAGCCCCGACTGTCCTGAACTAACTCTGTAGATCAGGCTGACCTCGAACTCGTAGAGATCCGCCTGCCTCTGCCGCCTGAGTGCTGGGATTAAAGGCGTGCGCTACTATTGTCCGGCTTTGTTACTGTTTTTCTGAGCCAGGGCCAGGACAGCCTGGAACTTACTATATAATGTACCCTAGGCTGGCTCAAATTGAGTATCCTTCTGCCTCAGCTCCTGGACACCCAGATGACAAGAGTATATCACATATCCTAGCAATGACTGTGACTTGTGCTATATATATTTTAATATATTTATTGTTTAATATTCAGGTATACCTTTTAAGATGTAATTTGTAATGGATGCATTTTACTCAGTTGCCTAGACTATACTGATCAACGATAGAGTAGTTTGGGGGCTACTGAGAAGGGTCAAAACACCTGCCACCAACTTTGACGACCGCATTCAGTCCATGGTGGAGAGAACCGAGTACCCTAAGTTGTCCTCTGGTCTTCACTCACACACTGTAGCATGAACATCTCCCAAAATGAACACCAAAATAAAATGTAGCAAGTGTGGTGGCCCACACCTTTAATCCCAGCACTTGGGAGGCAGAGGCAGAAGGATCTCTGCGAGTTCAAGGGCAGCCTGGCCTACAGAGTGGTTTCCAGGACAGACAGCCAGGGGTATACAGTGAGACCCTGCCTCAAAAATAAACAAAATCTCAAGAGTTTTTTTGTTCAAAGTTCAAAGCCTTTTAAAACATGTATCTATTTATTTGTGTAAATACATGTGCATTCACACCTAAGATGCCACAGAACACATGGAGAGGTCCGAGGACAGCTTCTGAGAGTGGCTCTCTCCTACTGTGTAGGTCATGGGGATTGAACAGTTTGTCAGGATTGGTGGTGACCACTCTTACCCTCACTTAGGCTATCTTGCTTTGCTAGCTCCTAAAGCAGTTTACCTAACTTTTTTTTTTTTTTCTCAAAACAGGGTTGTCTGTATAGCCCTTGCTGTCCTGAACTCACTCGGTAGACCAGGCTGGCCTTGAACTCAGAACTCAGAGATACACCTGCCTCTGCTCTCTCCAGTGTTGAGATTAAAGAAAGGTGTACACTACCATGCCTGACAAGAATAATATCTTAGCCAGGCAATGGTGGTGCACACCTTTTAGTCCCAGCACCCTGGAGGCAGAAGCAGGAGGATTTGAATTCGAGGTCAGCCTGGTCTACAGCCAGGACTACAATGAGAGACCCTGTCTTGAAGCCCTCTCCCCCTCAAACTTTTTTTCTTAAATTCAAGTACAGTATTACGGAAGTAAAATTACCCACTGTTGACTTTTGTCCAGCTATTTGTTGTAGCAGTTAGGACGCTGTGAGAGACAGTAGGTTCCTTTCTCAGGATTATAGGTATGCACACACACTTGAGAAAAGGCGGAAACAAGTGTGTAACTTCCCCAGAGCCTGGGGCACGTGGGGACCTCAGCCTGTCAAGCCTTAGACGATATGGCCATGCCTTTAGGAGTCCTGTCTCAAGCACAGGCCCTAACAGTCCAGCCCAGGACACACACACACCCCGCTCCATACCCCGTGCTTACACGGCCACTTCTTCACCGCCGGCAACAGCTGCTGCTCTGAGCCGCTCAACCATGGCCCCCACTTTCAATCCTACATATCTCAAAGCCCAGGAGCTTCTTACAGCGTGCCCAAAAGATAAGGTATATAAGTGGAGGTTTATTCGGGAGGATCACTTGCACCAAAGAGCAACAGGAACAAAGGAAGGTATGGAGGTAAGAACAGGGCATACCATAAAGGTCTTAGAGAATGATGTGAAGCCTGCAATTGTGCATAAAATTACTAGCAATGAAAGCAAGGTGATTTAATACTATAAGCAGTGGAGATTGAGAATATATCAGGGACTGGTGAGATGACTCAGCTGTTAAGAGCACTGCCTGCTCTTGGACACAGGTCCAATTCCCAGCACCCACATGACTGTTCAAACTGTAACTCCAGTTCCAGGAGATCTGACACCCTCACACAGGCTTACATGCAAGCGAAACACCACACCCATAAAACAAAAATATATAAAAAAGAATATTTTTTTAAGGCCAGCTCTCAATGTGTAGCCGTGGCTGGCATGGGCTAGCATTTGCTGTGTAGACCAGGCTAGCCTCAAACTTTACCCTTGCCTCAGCTCTGCTGTTACAGGGATGTGCCACCATACTTGCTGTATTAGAAAACAGTGGGACCCAGAAAATGTATTAGTCGGGAAAGTCATACACTTTTATAAAAGACACTGTAAAAATGCCACTAACACCAACCCTAAACCCTAACCCTTGTATTAAAAGGCAATGGAAATACGCCAAATAGCAAGGTAACTTAAATTACTTTGTATTAAAACTTTTTTAAACAGTTTGTTTTTTGGAGGGAGTGGGGCATATGCTGTAGTACGTGCATGAGGAGGTCCAAGGGCTTGCGTAACGTTGTTCTCTCACTAGGGGACTGAATTGAAGACATCATATTTGGTAGTAGGCACTTATAACTACACTGAGCCATCTTGTTAACTCTTAAAATCATTCTCTACACAGGCAGTACAAATACAAAGCTAATTATGATGCACTGGAATGAATTACCAAGTAGCCACATACATAGAGAAAAACACATCACTAACAAGAAAAAAGGTATCCAACCAAAAATATATCAGTAAAAAGAATTTAGTTATCAGTTGGGTTCCTATAGCTCAAGGTAAGGAATCTTAACCTAATCCCTTACTTTGCTAGTTGAGCAAACAAAAACATTTGAGTTTATCCATTACCACAGAAGGCATCTTAAGATATGGACGAGGATGGAAAAGGCATTTGTGAAGGGGCATCTGTCTGTCTTAGTTAGGGTTCATATTGCTGTGATGAAACGCCATGGCCAAAGGCAGCGTAGGGAGGAGGGGGCTTACATTTCCACGTTGCTGTTCATCATAGAAAGAAATCAGGACAGGACCTGAAGCAGGGCAGGAAACTTTGAGGCAGCAGTTGATTGCAGGGCAGGAACCTGGAGGCAGAAACTGATGCAGAGGCCATGGAGGATGCTGCTTACTGGCTTGCTCTCATGTCTTGCTCAGCCTGCTTTTTTTTGTTTGTTTTTTTCGAGACAGGGTTTTTCTGTATCGTTTTGGAGGCTGTCCTGGAACTTGCTTTGTAGACCAGGCTGGCCTCGAACTCACAGAGATCCACCTGCCTCTGCCTCCCAAGTGCTGGGATTAAAGGTGTGCACCACCAACGCTCGGCTCAGCCTGCTTTCTTGCAGAACCCATGACCACCTGCATAGGGATGGCCTTACCCACAACAGGCTGGGCCCGACCACATTAATCACTAATTAAGATGCTCTACAGGCTTGCCTGTAGCCTGATCTTATGGAGGCAGTTTCTCAGTTGAGGGTCCCTACACTCAGATGACTATAGCTTGTCATTGAAATAAACTATCCAGCACATATACCTTTCCCAGACACACCCACTCCAGGAATTTTTGTGTCTTAAACTCTGTGGACACTCCCAGGCCTTTAGGGGAATTTTGCAGAAGCTTCTTTATATAGACATTAATTATAGTAGAGGGCCAGCATCCAGTAGTAATCAACAACTTGGAGCTGTCCTCCCTTTTCTTAGACTGAAAGTCTAAACATCCTCAGCAGTCTCTATGGTTACCGAAGAGTATAAAAAGACTCATTACCACTTCCGAGATCCCAAGGTAGGTCTGTATGAGAAAACTGGAGACCGCTGTGTGTTATACAGCGCCACACACAGTGGACCATGACTTTCTGGTGCAGCAGACAGCATGATTTGCATGCTCACCTTCCCTTGGCACCATTTTACACTGCACTAAGTATTTACATTTTTGCCTTCGAAAACTAGACTGTATTACTCTCACCTTTCTTCCTGCTATTGTGTGAACTTATGTTTCTTTCAATGCTGCATTTTATTTCTTGGCTGTCCTGGAACCTGCTCTATAGACCAGGCTGCCTTTGTCTCCTGAATGC